ATCTATAGATGAATTATCCAATTTCCCTGTTGGGAATATCTCCAAGCTGCCTCCAAGCTGCTGGTATCTCTTGGTGTTTCTGATATCAGAAACCTGAAGTGATGCATCACATGACACGCGCCGACCATCCAGTGGTGCTGACTGTGTCAACCGCTGACAAGACATGGATTTTTCCATGACAACCTCCATTGATGTCCGGAGCGTGTTTGAAGTGGTTTTTCTAACCCTGGTGATCGTTGGTGTCCTTTAGGATTATCCCATTTTTCAAATGGCTTCTATGTATTTCTATGTGATAAGCCCAGTTACGATTCGCAGTTGGTTACACTCGTCGTAGGGTGATTCCGCAGGGATGGGTGAGTTCTTTACCAGAGAATTACCAGAGGTTTTTTTTCCGTACTGGGGGAGAAAGCACATTCATAAATCCATAACCCCCATCTATCTTGGGGTACCATCCGGGTAGCGTTTGGTTTTGACTCCTGGCAATCTCATGTAAAAAAGGCATTGGCCAGCTAGGCCAATATTGTTTTTGCCATGGCGTCGTCTCCTCTACCTCTTGTAATTGTTTAATCGCCACGGAAGATTCTCCATTTATCTTTGAGTTACCTACTCGAAGTGGTCGATTTTCCAGTTCGCAAACTGTTCAAGTGCCCAACTGAAAAATCATTTTTTCCGATTGGACTTCAATCTACAATGCGGTCATGGCAAGAATGGACCACCTCAGTTCTTCCAACTTCCAATTGGTATATAGATTTTCATCCTTCCAATTGAACAGTGGCTGCTAAACCCCTGTTGGTTGATGTTTGTTCTTTCCAACATATTGGGTTTGACAGTTGGATACTTACACGTTGCTATCATACATCAACTACAAATCCCCAACATGTACAATATATGTATATATATATATATACACAATTATGCGGTTATACACATAAATCTTAGTGACACCCCACGAATTTGTTGGTTAATTCAATGCCCATGTCCAACCTTTGTATTTTCATGAAATCCCATGAACTCCGCCATGAAGTATGGCTTCAAGATACCATCCCCGAAGATAGAGGTTTCCTAAAATATGGCTACCCCAAACTTTGCTTTTCCCATTGATCATGACCAATAACTTGGATAATTCTTGGAGCACCCCTATGTTAGGAAAGCCTCATATCATTTTATTGGATACATATCCCATGTATTCCATCAGCATCCCGTTATATCTCAATAAAATGCCCAGTTCTAGACCAAACTTGAGCCCTTTTTGCAAATGACCAATCCCATTAAATCCCAATAAATCTCATTAAGATGCGATTTTCCCTAGTGACCCTAGTGGTCATTTGAATAGATATCATTAAATCCCAATAAAAATCACCCAATGTGCTCTAAAAACTTCCTAGTGCTCATCTCTACTTCGGGGGTGTCAGGGGTTAGAAAACCGTAAGTTGGGTTTTTTTGGGGCCCTCTGACCATGGTGAAATCTGTTCACTGTTGGTGGTGCCCCCCCAGCTTTAAATGGCTTATACCCTCTGGTAATTTAACATAACTATGGAAAATCACAATTTTTCATGGGAAATTTCACTATAAATGGTGATTTTCCATAGTTACGTTAAATTACCAGAGGGTATCACCAACAAAAACCATAGTGAAATTGGACTTATGAACCAACTTAGCTAACGAGCTGGGGCACCACCTTGTAGAAAAGGTATCGTTTAGGCAGAGATACAACGGTTGCTGTATCTCTTCACAGTTTTCATTTTGATGGTAACATTTGCAACAGAACTTGGGATACAGCCCCAAGTACTGGTTATTTAACATAGCTATGGGGAATAGCCCATTTATGGATTATTTTTGATGATTTACTTATAGTTGGAACAATATACTGTAGCCAATAATTTTCACCTCTAGATTTAAGTGGACAGATTCAAAAAACTCCGACAGAACTTGGGGTTATCCAATATCCTAAATCCCATTTTTAATGGCTATGTTAAGCTTCCAGATCAACTTTTTGGCTAATTGATCCCAAGATTTTAAATACTTCAATAGTTTGTCGAAAATCCCAAACAGCCAATTTTTTGTTTTCCCACTCCACCAATATTATTCAATAAGCTTTATTATTGGGTATCTATATTCTATCAGATTCCAATTCATGTCAACCCCGGATTAATAAACCATGGTTTATTAATTAGGGGGGTACTCCTCCAATAGTCATTTCATCTAATACTTAAATGGTACCCTCCCAATTAAACAGCCGTTTGGGGTTTATTAATCCAGGGTTGACATTATCCCAAATACCAATTATCCAATATTGGGTATCTATAAATAAGCTGTATTATTGGGTATCTATTATTCAATACAGATTATTGGGTATCTATAAATAAGCTGTATTATTATACTCAATAAGCTGTATTTATTATTGGGTATAATAACAATAATACCCAAAACCCAATAATCTGATTATAATCCAATACCCAAATAATACAGCTTATTTATTATTGGGTATCAGATTATAATCTCAGATTATAATAATACAGATTATACAGGATGGTGCCCCCCAGTTAGAAGTCGGTTTATAAACCCCATTAACTATAGTTATATCTACCATAAACCATAGAATTCACCAAGTTATGTGCGTCAACTTAGCTTACGAACTGGGGCACCACCTTGGCCTCCGGTCAGGCCGAGACGCCCTATGTCGACAGCATCAGCGTCAACGGCGTCACGGAGACTTGGTGGAATTCCCATGCCGAAAAGCCATGGGAAACACGGTGGATTTTACCAGGGAAATTGGGGATTGATATGGGATTTTATAAGGAGTAATAGTTGATTTATGATAAGTGGCTAGAAATACCTAGGTTGACTTATATAAGTTGATTTAGTAGATATTAGTTGGATGATTGGATGGGTGAAGGTTGGTGATTTAAGCACATTTAAGCAACAGACATTGTTATTTAAATTGGAGTTACAGTTGATGTATGATAGGTAATTGCTGATTCAAGCCACACATTGATGGGTCTGAACCACGAATAATACAGGGATATATATATAATATGATACATATATATATATATATTATATTCATGGTTGATTGATAGGTAAGTTGCTGGAAGCAGCTATATATATATATACACCTATATTGGGCTTCATTTGATACATCTACAACTAAACCAACTTGTGAACTCCAGCCTGGGCAGAGCGTCCTCCAGCCCGGGTAACATCAGTGAGTTAACCATCAAGAAAGGTGGTATAACAGGGATCTAATGGATATTAATGGGATATAATGTGAATCATGGTTAATAAGGGAAATCATTCCCAAATGGGCTTAATTCAGGTTAGTGAATTATTATAATTTACCCAGGTTAATGGGATATAATGTGATATAATGTAATATTGTTTGTACAACTCCCCACACGAAAAACAAAAACGACTACTGGATATTTTGTTTTTTTTGGGGTCTGCGGGACTCAATCTCTCGAGAGCGGATCTTTGGACGAGCATGGGCACTGAGTGCAGTCTTTGCGCTCGAATTGGAAGCGCTGTCGGACATTGGCCAGTGGCACATTTGACTTTGGGCTCCGCACACATGAACAATGAAGTTGCAACAGAAACGTAAGAGAAACTTCTGAAGTCATTGATTGAGCACGCCTTTGAGTCTAAATGTGACGCAGTGAGTGTCAATCTGAACAGTCGGAGCTGACATTCGAAGTTGGGAACGGCGAAGTTGCGACCACACCCACATCTAATTTTGGAGTACCAACATGTGCCCTCTGGGAAGGCAGCATTATCTTCAAGAATAGCTTTAGAAGATGATGATATATATATATACACAGAATATACATATACATATATACATACATATACACATATACTTATATATATTATATATATATGTGTAACTATGTATATGTACATATACAAATTATGTACATAATATTATATAACTATATGTCCATATAATTAAATAAACATACATGTATAACCTGCTTGGCGGTTGTTGAATGCCGCACCAGACTGCCAGATGGGGGTACGGTAAATTGCCATGGATCCATACCGATACCATTCTTTGGATGAAGATCCATTCAATGGCCATTTCAGGATCCTAAATTGGAGGTACTGTACCATATTTCAGGCCACATTTTGTGGGTATATTCCCTGAAATTTAGGCCTGAAAAATAGGCCTTATATATGGTAGGTACCTCCAATCAATCGGATCCTGAAATTCCCATTGATCCATTTTGAACAAGGTGAGGCCCCTGTTTACAATAGCTAAGTGGACGCCGGACGCAAATCACGTGGTTAGCGGCATCGCTTGGTGTGAAGGGGATTCCATGGGTGTCCAGTTACCCAGTTTAACCCACAAAAAAAAGGCTGGTTGGTGGTTGCAAGCCATGACTTATGATATCTTATGACTTACTAACTCTGGCTAGCAACATGTTGATCCAAGCAAGTTCTGATAGGTTGGCTTGAAGGGAGAGAAACTATATCCGTCACCATAGGAGTGGCTTGCCAATCCTAGAACATTAGCAAACATGTTACTCCCTGGTTCTTAAACATAGCATAGCTATGGAAATTCACAATAGGTAAATCATCCTAAGCCATCTATAAGTTGCCATTTTCCATAGTTGTTTGTTTCAGCCAAGGCTAGTTTCATCCATCGTACAAGGCCACCAAGCTAACTAAACCAACTTAGCTGCAGCAAACCGGGGCACAATCTGTAAAAACTCCTGCAGTAAAACCCTATGTTCCATCTACATCATCTGAGTTTTAGCAACATCAATGAGTTTTATGAGTTTTAGCAACATCAATGATGAGCTAACCATCAGCAATGACATATTTTTTGATGAGTTTAGCATCAAACACGGGCAATTTTGGGTGGTTAAGCTACTGTATGTTAAACCACCATTTTAACCAGAGTTAAACCACCATTTTCGCATGGTTTTGTAGCACCTACCACAATCTGGGCAGGGCACTTTTTTTCTTTGCTCGCTGAGGATTGGGTGAACTATACCGTAGAGATGACGGAGGGCGATACCGTGATTTTGCACGTGAGAAACTTCGATGGTCTGATGGATGAAGATGTGAAGGCGGCTGCCGGTGGGGGATTTGCACGTGATTTCTTCTGTGAAGGTGATGTTGGGAATGTGACGTGGTGATGGGTCATTTTTTCGGAATGGATCAAGATGGTGGCTTCGGCTCAAAACTGACTGAGCCCAAATGGTGATTTGAGAAGCTAAAATGGGGATTCTAGCAACTATCATGGTGGTTTAACGGTTTAACCATCTAATATTCAAAATGGTTGTTTACTCCTGCCTGATATGGAAATCTATAATCTATTCGAGAAACTTGGACATGTCGTACCCATTGAGGAAACGATTGCGGATATATTACTTTGTGGGTCTACTAAATGAATTGACTCCACTTATAAGTGGAAGATGACACTGAAGATCACATTTCTTCCCCTACGTAGTACTTTCCTCACCGGGTATATACCCTACTGTCGGTTCGTAGAATGAAACACCAAGCGGGATTGACCTTTGAAGAAGCCGTTGTGGGTTTGGCACATTTAAGACAGTTTCCATGAAAGAATCATGATGCACTCTGATAATCTTGGGGCTTGTGATACTTTGATGACCAGCAACCACAGATTCTGCGGAGCGTTTGGCAAAGGAGCGGAGTGCTTTCCAGGTGGCTTGAGCACATAATGCCGCACTTGGACGTCTTTGGTATTTGGATATCGGCCAGTGAACTGTCCAAGTTCGAGTTGCGAAGAGGAAAACCTGCATCAAATCCATGCGCGGATCAATGCGCAATCGATTCTTTCGTTGATGTTCTACCGAACTACTCTGCAGTACCTAAATTGCATTCAACCTTTTCCAGCCGTAAAAGGGATAGATATATATATATATATACACACTGTATATATATATATAGGATATGATTATAGTTACTCTACTTAGACTCTACCTCATTGGATTGTAGCCATACACCCAATGATTGTAGCCTTTTTGGGGATTAGATGGGTTTATCTGTTTATCCGACTATTTTTGTTAAGAGGAGAGGATCCACTAATCACCAAGTTCAAGATCTTTTGCATATCCCTGTCGGGTGTTCATGAATTTATTTCTTCAAGGGGAAATATATTTGGGAAATTTATGGATATGTGATATATTGTCCCAATGATGGGATATCAGTGTATATATATATATACATACATATTATCCCAGTCTATCTCCCATATCTCCCAGTAAATCCCAGTAAATATATAAAGAATAGATATGGACTGATAGCGAATCTGAGATTTGATGGGAGATATAAACATACAAGATCTACCCTCTGGCAATTTAACGTAGCTATCGAACATGGCTATAGAAATAGTTGATTTACTCATAAAAATCGATTTTCGGTCATGTTTACCAAAGGGTAATTCCATTAAGCCACCATTAAACCACCATTAAACCACCATAAAACCACCGTTTTGTATATCTATCAGCAGACTGCAGCTGCGTTTCTCAGGTGAGGATAGGCCTTGTGGTGGTCCCAAGCGTCACCGTGACCGAGAGCAGTGTTCCTTGTTGGAAAATCGGGGGTGCTGGCTGTGTTTTCTTTTTTTGTAATCCCATCTATAGTTACTATGGTTTATAAACCAACAACCATAACTGGGGGGGCACCACCTTATATGTATAATCCCATCAGCCCAATATTAAACACCCCATTTCTATGGTCCCAAAAAATGTGGAAATTCCCTACATCCACCATGGTTTCTCTATTTGGGGTGTGAAAAATATTAGGATCATCCACGTTTTCCTGGCTGGAAAATCCCCTACATCCATTGAGGTTTTGATCATGTTTTGATGGGGAGAAAGCATCGAACTCAATGGCGGCTTGAGGGATTGACCTTAAAGACTTAGTTGTTGCTCCAAGGTCCACAGGGAAAATGATGGCGGCTGGAATTCTGTAGCGCTCCGATGATTTCGGGTTCGATTTTGATGATTTCTGTGGTCCAAAACTCGACAAACACCCACGTTGACAGGTCGGAAATGGCTTCTAGTATCCCCCTAAATGATTGAACGTTGATTTATGACTATTTTAGTAGGATTTCACTTTTCTTTTTTTTGGGGTGCTATATAATTTCTCTGTGCCCCCAGTGACTTGTCGCTTCAATAGTGTTTGCTCTGTCTGTCAATAGATTGAATGAGGGGATACAACAAGAACCATTTCGCAGAGTCCTGGGTGTGAGATCGCCTGCATTTGACTTGCTGTAACTTCAAAAGGTGCCGGTCTGTCACATAGACGACAGCATTGAGGTTCTCTTTGTGACTCTCGGGACATGAGTAGGTTTTATTCGAAGGGAATATAATTAGTACATATATATATATATCTAATACACATGTTTGATATCATTGCATCTAATGGACATTCCATACTACCATCTGGTTATGACTAACATAGCCATGGAAAATCACCATGCCATGAACAGGTAAAGCATCTATAAATAGGCAATTTTCCATCCATACCATGGCTATGTTAAATAACCAGATGATAAGGAAACATCAATGGAACTTATGGGACATGGGTGAACTCCAGGGTCCGTTTGGAAAAGTTCCCAGTGAAAGAACCGCGACACAATGACCGTCGCGTAAACGCTGTCACTAGTCCCAATGATTCAGTAGCTGATCTGTCCCAATGGTGGTTTAATGGTGGTTTAATGGTGGTTTAATGGTGGTTTAATGGTGGTTTAATGGTGGTTTAATGGTGGTTTAATGGTTGAATGGAATTCCCATTTTGATTGCTTAACAACTTATGTTAATTGAGATAAGAACGGAAAACCACCATTTGTCTATGGGTAAATCAACTATAAAGGGGCCATTTTCAATAGCAAACTTTTAGTTTACCGGAGGCTATGAATCATCTTTTTTTGGTTGGTCAAAACCTCAGTTTTTGGTGAAGAACTCGTTATGTTTCCCCACCTTTGTTGGTTCCTAAGCTAGATTTATTTTCATTTTCATCAACTCCATTTTTTTAGTTAACAAATTAGCTCACCACAACATTATATACAAAATTATATCCCAAATTCTTGGAACAGTAGTTTAATATATCGATTTTTGTGCCATTGATGTGTACATGTACTAGTCAGCCACAATTTCCAACAAATCCTGGGTACCTGAGATCTAGTCAGGATATTAGCAAGTGATATTCCCATTGAGCGGTTAAAAACTACCCATATCCCATACTCACGAAAAACTACTTGGTTGCCAGGTTTCCCTACTATGGGCTATAATCATCTCCAATAACCCAGGTAGTATTGTAGTATCTCCAATCATCTCCAATCATCTCTCTATAATAATTTAGTTAAATCACCATTAATCTGGGTAAATTAGATCACGACCTCACTGTTCTCCCTCACTGGAATCATGGTTAATACGGGAAATCATCCCCGAATGGCCTTAATTCAGGTTAGTGAATTATTCTAATTTGCCCATATATATATAATAGATATAGTTGATAGTGATACCAGTAGTACCGCACAAGGCGGTGGCGGAAGTTTCAGAATAGGAAACCTATAGGAGACGTTGGTTGTTGTGAATCACGGATGGCAGAGCGAATCCACTGATTGACCGAAAGGTGGTTGGAGTTGTGTTTGCTGGCATGGTTGCAATGGTTGCAGTGGTCACCTCACCCACAACTGCTGGATGTAGTGTGATGTACTGCAACTGTAGTTGTAGTTGTAGCGTAGTGGAGTTGTAGTTGTGGTGTAATGTAATTAGTGTAGTGTAGTTGCAGTCATATAGTTGTAGTTGTAGTTGTTTGGTAGTTGTAGTTGTTGT